AACTTGGAACTTAATCCAAAATTTAAATAATCAGAATATTGAAAATCTAGATACTATTCCTACGTGTTCACATTCGAAAGATAACTTAGATGATGATTTTGAAGATTTATTAATGTCGCATGAAAGCCTTAATAAGAATAGTTCTCAGGGCATAGAAAATTATAATAAATGTGTAGAAATAGAGTATATAATTCGGTCATTTGATAATATAGAGAGATTAGAAAAAGATGCAAATCTTTTGAATTATTGGGAAAATGTAAAGAATAGTATGCCAGAACTTTATAAGTTAGCTATGGTTGTGCTAGCAGTTCCAGCTACGCAGGTATCCGTAGAAAGAGCATTTTCTAGCCTTAAGTTTATACTCTCTGGGCAAAGAACTAAATTAAATCCTGAAATATTAGAAAATATTTTAGCTATCCGTTCCAATTCTCTTTTTAAAAATAAATAATATAAATTTCATTATATTTATGTGTTATTTTATTCCTCATTGTATTTGCGCATGTTTGTGTTTATCTTATTTATGAAATAAAAAGAATTGATTTGTCTAATTTATATTTACTAAGTTTAATAAAAATATCTATTAGATTATCATTCATAGTTAAATTAAATAAGAAATTATAAAAAGATTTTTCTCTAAAATTAATATATACATGGTTAATGATTAATTTTTTTTAAAATTAAATTTATAAAAACCGGAACAAACCGAAAAGAACCGTTATAAATTATAAACCGAACCGATATGATTATTTTTTTAAAAAACCGAAATGGAACAAAACCTTTATAAAATTTTAAACTAAAAACCGGAACGAACCGAACCGTTATACTAAACGGTTCGAAACCCTGCAGCCAGGGCCTCCTGTTCAATCACAGAATACCTGGTCTCTACCTCACGAAAAACACGCGAGAAAAACAATATGGGTCTCTCCAAGCCCTCTATTACCTGTAATAACGCTCCACCCACTCCCTTATTTGAGGCATCCACCGCCAAAACAATTTCCAATTCATTATCAAAACACACCAAAACCGGCTCTTTTCCAATTTTTTCCTTTAAAATTTCAAAAGCAATTTGCTGTACATCCTTCCACTCAAAATGAATTCCCTTTTTCAATAAATCATATAACGGCGCCGCAACCTTTGCAAAATCTTCCACGAACCTGTGGTAATAATTGACCATACCCAAAAAAGACTGCAACTCAGCCTTAGTGTCAGGCCGTTTCATGTTCGATATATTCTTCAAATTTTTATCCAAAGGTTTCACCTCAATTCCATTAATTCGATGACCCAAATATTCAACCTCCATTACCCCCAGAACACTTTTCTCCTTACTAGCTCTCAAGCCTTTATCACGAATTCTCCTAAACACTTTCTCCAAACGTTGATTATGCTGCTCCGGCGTCACACCAGTAATTAACACATCATCCATATAATAAAATACTCCCTCCAATCCTTGAAAAACTGACGCCATGGTCCGTTGAAAAATGGGAGCAGATACGCTCAATCCAAATGGTAATCTACAAAACGCGAACAATCCCTTTGGAGTCGTTATCGTCAATAATTTACGGATTTCCTTTCTCAAAGGTAACTGCAAATACGCCAACGAAAAATCCACCTTGGAAAAATATTTCGCACCCTTCAACTGAGCCAAAATCTCCTCAATCCTAGGCAATGGATATTTAACCTCCACCACCCATCGATTTACTGTGACCCTGAAATCAGCACAAAGTCTCAATTTACCATTTGCCTTTTTAACAGGCACTAAAGGAGTCGCCCATTCACTATATCCTACAGGAATAATAATGCCGTCTTTCACCCATCTATCTAATTCCTCATCGATCTCCTTCCTTCATTCGAAAGGAACTCGCCAACAAGCCAAAAAGATCGGTGAAAAACATTCCGTAAGTTGAACATCAACTTGATAATCATTTAAACAACCTAATTTTTCATCATAAATGATGCCATACTGCCTCACTAGAATAGGAATAGCTTGATTAACTTTACTCCAATCCTCTTTTTCCCCGACCATAATTTGCTTCTCATCTATCTCCTTATTAAAATCCAAATTACTCGATTTCATCTCCTCCGAAATTTCACAAATTTTATTATCGGTATTATCCAAATTTCCACTCTCTTCAACATCCACTATTACATTATCACTAGTATTAAAAATATTCCAATAATTATCGGGAGGACCAAGCTTGGTAATCCAATCTCACCCCATAACAGTCTCAACATTTTCCTTTACTACCCATAAATCAAGGAAAAATATAGTATCATTAAGATTAACCCCCAATTTGGCCTTTCCCAACACAGCGACTTCCGACCCATCAAATTGCCTGACACACATAGCCTCTTTTTCCAGTTTACCCCCAGGCCAATACTTATAAAAATTCTCCTGCGACATTAGAGAAATACTAGCCCAGGTGTCAAATAGCATTACTATATTCCTATGGTCAATCTTCAAACTAACCCTCGGACACAAACATGGTCCATCTAATCTTTCCGTCATTAAAATATCATATGTTTTAATCGAAGAATCAGCGTTTATTTTATCTAAAATAATAATTTCATTGGCATTCTCATTGCCCCTTAAATTCAACTCGGAATTTAAATTTTTATTACTGACATTACATTTCTTTTAACAAGATTTGTTGGACATCTTTCCCAAATACAATTTATAACATCCCTTCTAAGAGAATAACGGACAATATTCCTCGGATATTGTTCCCACCTAAATCGACTAACCTTCCTCACAGAGAAATTACGAGAATGATTTCTTATTTTAATATCATTTCCCTCATTTCGACTAATAATATTAAATGTTATATTATACAAATTTTTCCGAACTCTCGGAGCCCCGATTCCTATATGATTCACCTTGCAATCATATAGTCAACACGAATTTCGTAATACTTCCATGCAGTCCACAGCTACATGTCCCGGTATTTTACATTTAAAACATAATCTGGCCCCATTTAAGCTAACCATTTTTACATTAGCATTTCCTATTTCAGGTCTCTTTAACGGAAATCCATCTTTTAACCTTTGCTCTGGGACTACGCAGGTATCCCTTTTATGTCCTCGCATCCGCTACGATAGCAAATGATTATTTCCACAAATCTTTTATTTTCCGACAATCCTTTATTTTCCTCGTAATCATTAAATTTCTTATTCATATTTCTATCACCCACCTGGCTCTTAACTGGACTTTTGCTCTCCTTTATCAACGCATTGATGGCTTCTTTCATTCCTTTCATTTCCAAGAGGATCCTATCTGACCTTTCCAGCCTTGATTTCCTCTAAACATCTTTTAGATTACTTTCCAAGTCTATTTTCTTCCCATAAATATCCGATATTAAATTAAAATACGTTTCATCCATTTTTTTTATAAACATCTGACACCGCAGTGTCCTTCTTCCAACTGCAATACATGCCTGCCAGTACCGCAGTACCCCTTTTTACCAAATATTTCGCCAAAATCACCAATATATAAATTATTACCATTATTCCAATTATCATTCCCTGTTTAATTAAATCCAATTCATCAAAATTCTTATACAAAACTTTAAGACCCAAATTCTTATATAGTGAAATCTTAGCAGCCACACTGTAATCATCATGATACCTAAAAAAATGAACCATTTGGTTATGAATCTTTTAGTCAATACTAATACTTAATTACAAACACTTTAAATACTTGTAGAAAATATTAATAAATTATATAATTAAAAATTTTTTGTTTTACCTTCTAAACCGAATAACTCCTAGGAAACTATCAGCGTCACAAGGCACCACTAAAAAAAAAACCTACAAACACAAATTAAAACAAATCTAAAATCTACCTAAACAAATCCTAGAAACTTAACCAAACTTTCTAAAAAACGAATAGTCAAGAATTATATGAAATTATCAAATCAAAAGACAAATCAAACTACAATAGAAATCCAAAAATTTTATTCAAAAGAAAATTCATTTCTCCAAAAAAATAATCATTTTTTCTATAAAAAAAATTAATGAATCAAAAAAAAAAAATATAACATATATTACTATATCTAATTTTATATCCAATCAACCTTATTTTAATCGGTTGATTGGCATTTCGCGTAAAAAAAAATATGATAAACGTATTTACAAATACGACAGTTATAATATTTTTTTGACAAAAAAATAATCCCTATATGCGTTATATTCATTGAAATATTTTAAAAAAATTATTAAGGCTGTACTAATATTGAATATCGGATCAGAGCGTTTACCGTTTTTTTTAAAATCTGATCCGATCCGATATTATAATTTAGGTTTATAATTAATTTTTTAATAAAAATAAAAGGAATTAAAATATAATTTATTAAATGTTTAAAAATATCGAATCATTATATAAGAAAATGGCTAAAGATGTGAAAATATATTCTCATTATATGTAATTCGTATCAAGAAAACTATTTAAAAAGAGTTATTCAGCTATAAGCATAGCCCATATTTTAAATAATATAATTAACTTTTGAGAAATAAAAAATGGATTTAATCATTCCTGATAATGCATCGTCTTACCCATCTGAAACTATAAATTGTTTCTTGTTTTGCCGATAGGTTTATTAGTTATTTTTTGTACGCAAATTATTAATTTTTTTATGACATCAGTAGATAGATAATAAATAATATATGATCGATATCGGTTATTGGATTGATTTTGTATGAATATCGAAAAATATAGTATCGGATCAATAAAATTTTTGCGGGTATAACCTTAAAAATTATATACTAACAATCAATGAAAATTTAATTAAATTAATCTCCAAATGAGTGGAAGAACGTTTTCATAGGAAAATAATGGGGAGAGGGGGGGGGGTATTAATCATAAGTTTTATACAGTTAAGGTTATATTATAATAATAAATAATTCTGTACTAACACAAAAAATGTTTAAATTTATTACAACAAAATAAAAATTATTACCTAAAATATATTCAAAAATATTATTTCTAAATTACAATATAAAGTTACCTGCTGCAATAATTGGTCATCATATCGCCTTCTAGCTAATTGATCTTGATATTGTGCCCTCTGAAAAAATAATAATTTGAAAACTTTTTAATTAAGTTGAAGTTCATATCCTGATATAATGATAGTATTTAAGTGTATAAAATATTTTTGATTAAAAATTATATAATTAAATGTTTAACATAGTGTTGTAAACGAAAGCGTTCAAAATGAACGCGTTCGTGAACGAAGTTCGTTTTTTTGGAAAAAGGTGATGAACGGCGTTCCTTTTTTTTTGACGAACTTTGAACGTGAACGCGTTCCTTTTCTTTGATGAACGCGTTCAATTTACGTTCGTTCAATTTTAAAAACACTTTTTATTTATTTGAAAAATTAATATTTAATCCAATTTTTTAACAAAAAAATCTTATATTTTTTAATCAGCTGTTTTTACTTTTTCCTCTTTCATATTGCAATTAACGTACCATAACGTGCTATTGCTAGAGAAGATAAGATTAAAGTTTATTAATTTAAATATTTTATATTTTAATTTAATAGATTAGCATTTGCATGGATATAAATATTTCATCATCAGATTCTGAAAATCAAAATTCAATATTAGATGAATTAGAATTACCATGGCCCAAATATCAAAAATATTTCACTGTTTTAAAATCAAAAGGTAATTCAATAGTTACCAAATGTAAAATGTGTCCAAAAAGTATTATATCAGTGTCAACATCTTCAAGCTCCAATTTAAAAAGACATCTGATTGTAACATTAATTATTTTTGAAACAATGGATAAAACATTAAATGTTTTTAATAAATTCCCCCCTTTAAAAGAATTGTTTATCAAGTATAACACCGCAATCCCTTCATCTGCCCCTGTTGAGCGAGTTTTTAGTATAGCTAACGCTGTATTAACTGCCAAGCGTTCATGCCTATCAGATGAAAATTTTGAAAAGCAATTATTATTAAAAATTAATAAGAAAAATTTTTTATAAATTTATTTTTTTATCGCTCTATTATATTGTATTTATAATTATATTATCAAAATAAAACTATTATTTTTTATCATGGCTAATATATTGTGTTGAAAAATATAAGGCATTTATTTATATTAAATTAAATTTAAAAAAAAATTTATCATAAAATTTTGAACGTTCCTTTTTTTGAATTTGAACGTGAACGCGTTCGATTTTTGTCAATGAACGTTTAACGCGTTCGATTTTTTTAAAAATGTTTACAGCACTACTTTTACACATCGTCATGTGGTGAGTAACATTTCTACCAAATTATAGTTAAGGGATTATGGTAATGTATCATCTATGATAAAGATCGCTAAGTAATTTTTAACATTTTATAAACGTATGTTATTTGTTTAAAAGCAGTTTAAAATTTGCTCAAAAATAAAAAATCTTCAAAGATTTTGATCTCGGAAGATTTTTTTGAGAATGTTCAAATTTTATTTTAACTAAAATTCCAAATTTCTTTGTAAAAATATCATTATAAGTATAAAGTTTGTGATTTTTATGATTAAAAAATCTTTCATAATAAAATCACAACATTTAAAAAAAATTTTGATCTTTTAAAACCTCCAATGCAGAAAATTTGAGGGCAAAAAAAATTTCCAGCTACTCATTTGAAAATTGGCATTAAACAATGTTTTAAAGTAATCATTATTAAATAATGTTTTTATATTAATTTATTTAAAATTCCCATTGAAATATAACATACAATATTATATAACATTAAAACTATAATAACAAGAGAATAGGAACAATTAAAATGAACATTGCAGTGAGTCATAAATGCTGATGTAGTTTCTGAAACCAAATCTGAGGAATCTTTTATTAATAATTCGGATTCGAGATTTAACAGGAGATTCGCCGAATCAAAAAAAATAAAAAACCCTTTGACGATGACCAAATTAGTATTTATTTTATACATAAAATACCATACGATAATGACGGTGCACACTATGGAAGAAGATTAAACATGATAATAAAATGTGCAAATGATGAGTGAAAGAATAAAATATTTTAAAAATTTAAACAGTAGTTTATTTAGTTTAAAAAATACTAATTGAAATATTAATCAATGCAATTAGTACGATAAACCTGACTTCAATGCAAGCTCTGCCCTGAAATTAGATTCAAATTATCAGACCAATCACTAAATTTATTGGTTTTTTTGAAATTTTATTATTTAACTAAGAAAATAATATTTTTTAAAAAATTTTAATATCCAGTAATATATTGAATCAAAATAATATATATGGTTCATTCAATTACAAATCAACCAGTATTTCGGACGACTATCTCAAAAATGAACGAAACTTGGCATGTTAGTTATAGGCCAGTTCAGATCAAATAGATCAAAAAAATAGTTTTTCGGCCGACCCCTTAAAATTGTTTAAAAAAAATTGAATGAGAAAGCCGCTTAATTTAGCACGCTAGAACTCCCGGTTCCCAAGATAAAGGGCCACAAAATGTGGGAAAAATAGTGTCTTTCAAATCTAAAATTTTAAAAATGCTTATATCTTAAAACCTTGGGTTCGAACCGAACCCAGAGAAGAAACCCCGAGTTTTGGGGAAAAAATCTGAACCCGAACCGAACCTGAACCCCGTTTATAAAATTTTCAAAACCCCAAACCGAACCCGGGAATTTTATTTGAACCCGGGTTCAACCGTTCAGTGTATTATTTAAATTAATATTAGATATTTGTATAATTGTAAATACATATTAATAATTTACTTGACGTTTTATAATATTTTCAAATTTCTAATTAAAAGTTAATAAATTTAAAACAACTTAATTCATTTACTCAATTTTTAAATTTTTTTTTAATTTATTCTCAAAGATTTCTGATGGATTGTTAATAAATTTTAAACAATTAAATTCATATAAGCCATTTATTTTTAATTTTTAACTTATTCTCAAAGATTATTAAAAGTGAACAAGTCAAAGTAAAAATTATTATATTGAATATTGTTAATTTTAAGAAATACGTATAAATAAATTTTTTTAAATCTATACATGACTGCTTTGTATTTTTAACTATATTTTGCCTATAAATAAAATAAAAAATTTATTTTTTATACCAAATTTATGTAGTTTTTTAATTATGATTTAAATATAAAATATTTTTTTATCAATTCAAAAATTCTTAAACCCGAGCTGAACCCGGAACCAAACCCAGGTTCAAAAATATTTCCCTGAACCGAACTCACATATTTTTTCTAGCTTTAAAATTGAACCCGAATCCCTACTTAAAACTATTCATGGTAAAAATCAAAATAATATATCAAATTGTAGGTAAAGAAAATCTCTAGAGAAAAAATTTTGGTGCCAATTTGGTCTAAAACTTCCAGTTTATATATATTAATTTACTTGTATTTTTAAGCAATAGAGGGAGTTTGTTCTCAAAAATTTTTTTTGCCTTTTATTTAGACACCATTTATAAATATATTTATGATATGGAAACTTTGGCGACGTTATCGGCTCTTCCAAAATATGCACATTTACCAAAAATTAACCTTTTTATTTGCATAAAATAGATGGCGTTATGAAATTAATTTTGTTCCTAAATTACCATAAAAAAAATTTTGAATTTCTAGACCATCCATGATAAATTGATCAAGAAGGCCCATTTTAGACCGACCCCTTTAAAATTGTTAAAAATTGCTGGAATTATTTAGATCGATAAAAAAAAAAGCTTTAGTTCGCTAGCACACCTGGTTCCCGAGATATAGAGCTTTAAAGATTCGAAAAATGGAAATTTTTGCACCTGTAATTGTTAAATTATTTACATCTCAAAAACATTTTAAGATATGAAATCTATTCAAATGATTTTAAATGAAGAATATATCGTTCAGGCAGATTTTGCTGAAAATTATGACTTTATGATTCAAGATGTATAAGGATTTTGGATTAAAGGGCAAATTACCATTCATCCCTTTTTAATTACCAGACACTTAGATTTAAATTATTTAAGTTATGTATTTACATCGGAATCCCTTATTCATAATATAATTGCCATTCATTTACTCCAAAAATATTTAGTCTGTTACTCAACAGATAAATTTAAAGACGCCTAAAAAATTTCTTCCATTTTTCAGATGGAGCAGCATCACAATATAAGAATCGCAAAAATATAATCAGTCTTTGCAACCAGAAAGATGATTTCGGAATAAAAGCTGAGTGGCATTTCTGGGTCACATCTAATGGCAAACGGACTATGATAGTCAGAGGTATAGTCAAACGTAGTAGCCGGGGCTTTATACAAAGACCTGTTCCAGAACAAATAACTTGTCATAGTTTTTTGCCTATTCTAAAGAAAATATAAAATAAGATTTCTAATTTATTAATATAATTAATAATTTTTATTAAGGAATAAATTTCTCCTATATTATGGAAGATGAATAAGACAAAGAGCAAATAATTTTAAATTTTATATTTTTATACAATTTCCCAGGAAAATATTGAAGTTAGCTTTTATTCAAATTCAACATAATAGCGAATATTAAATATATTATTTCACTTGAATATTAATGCGAATTTAATATAATGAAAAAATAAATGAATATATAACATGCATTTATGACAATCATTGGTTATCATTAAAAAAATGAATATATAACATGTATCTATGATAGTCAATGGTTATCATAAATAAAAATTAATAATAAAAAATTATACGGAAATTTAATACAAAGGCATTTTGACCTCACTGCCTAACACAATTTAAATGGTACATTTAGAAGAAATTCGAAATATTTTAGTATAAAATGTGAAAATATCCTGTTAATGGTAAATTGTAAACAAAATTAATTTTAAAAATAATTGGTAGTTTCATATGACATCTATTTTATTAAATATAAATTTCGATTTTTGTTAAAATGCATATTTCGGAAATGCCGATTTCGTCGTCAAGGTTTTTACATCTTATATATATTTATAAAAGATGTCTAAATAAACGGCAATAAAAAATTTTCGATAATCAACTCCCCTTATTGCTTGACAAGGGTAAAACAATAGGCTATGTCCTAAGTATCAAAAAATTGAATCGCGCAATTTTCGC